GTTATTTCCAACACACCTAAGCAGCATGGTTTGGATTCAATGCAGCTTCAGGTAGCCTAGTGTCAGCTCAGATGCACTCGTTGGGTTGTATCTTTGATATCCTTAATTATGACCCTCTCTCTGTGTTTTCCCTGTTTAACAAGGGAAGCATTTGTAAATGAACTGGCCCATCGGCTGGTTAATAACACCTCCTTATCGAGCATGCTGATCAGTATTAGTTATGCCCTATAAAATTCATACCAAGTGCCTGGGGGGAAATCAGTTAAATTATGGCTGAGGGTTGAGGAAAAACGCACTGTATGAATACATGTGTTTTTGTGAAACCACAATATCATCTGAAAACAAGCTGGAAGGCCCAAGAGCTCCTTCAAACAAAACAAAACAAAACAAGCCAGTAGTTTTATAAGTCAGCCTTCCAGCTCACAGTTTAATAATTTCAGATTAAAAACTTCCTCCGCATTTCCACCAAAGGACAGAACCAGCAGACCATAAATTTGCTGATTATATGCATTTGGGCTGGCTCAGTTCCCTTAATGACCCTTTCTGACAATTGCAATTCTCAGTGATGGGGGTAATTCCCATCCGCTTGCCTTTTATCCCTCTCCGTCCCAATAATGTCCCTTTTCTTCCTGATAATATAGATGTTAACACGCACAGTGGGCAAATAAAGAAACCAAGTGAAAAGCATCCAGAAACACAATACACGCAATAAGACAGGAGCACAAATTCACAATTGCAAAAAGTGACTTTGCTTGGAACAGGACCTATTACTTGGTCATACCTTGCTGATTCCTAGATTCCTGGATAAAATCCAAATCATTGACTGCCTAAAATTGTATCAGTAACCTCAAGCAGACTGTCAAAGTAGTAGTAATACTAATACTAATACTAATACTAATACTAATACTAATACTAATACTAATAAAAAAAGAACAGCAATTATATACGGTACATCCCCTAACTAATTTTGTCAGAGAACATAAAGAACAGTGCATATACAGGTTCAGACCCCCTTATACGAAATGCTTGGGACCAGAAGTTTTTTCAATTTTGGATTCCCCCCCTCCAGATTTTGGAATATTTCCATATGCATTAAGAGATATTCCATATACATAATGAGATACCTTGGAAATGTTTAGACCCGTCTAAATATGACATTCATTTATGTTTCATATACACCTTATACACATAGCTTGAAGGTAGTTTTGTACACAGTATTTTAAACAGTTTTGTATATGGAACAATGTTTGTGTACACTGAGCCATCAGGAAGCAAAGGTGTCACTATCTCAGCCACCCATGTGGACAATTTTGGAGTATTTCAGATTTCTACATAGAGGAGACTCAGCCTGCATTGCAAGCATGGTTACAAGATAGTTTGCTCCCTGCTTTTTGGGATGCATGAGTCTTCCTTGGGAGCTGAAACTTGGAGCTGGAAACAGCAGCACCTAAAGGTCAGGACCTGGGGCCTCCTCCTTAATGTGCAAAAGGGGGAGAATGGGTCTAGGGAGGCGAGGGGAAGGGAGGGCTGGATGCCATTTTGTCATTAGCTGAGCTTCAAAGGAGACTGGCGACGCTAGGCGGGAAAGAGGGGAGCCTTTCCCAAAACCGAGAGCCAATTAGACCCAGTCTGGAGTGGTCCAGACCCTTGGATTTTGTTCATCTGGTCCACAGCTGCCTCCATGGGGGGCAATGGGGGTGAGAATGGCAAAGGAAGCTAAGCAGGGGAGAGGGAAGTTTGCATTTTCTCTCCTAGCAAGGTCAGTTGACAGAATCCAGATCCATTATGGCCTCCTGACAGATGATTAAAGCACACACACACACACACTTCAAGGGACTTGGTCCTTTCTTCCGCCTTTGGCTTCAAAGATAGATGGAGTGAAGAGCGGTTTGCAGAAAGTTCCTTTTTTGGACATTGACATGACCAACATAGATAATTTCCCACATAGATGGTACATTCCCCCCACCCCACCCCGAAAGCCCATATCTCTGCTTTCTCCCAAGTTGGTCAAGTTCAATGAAATTTCTTTGCATCCTCAACACACCCCAGTAACATTGTTCTTTTTTTAATAAGAGGATTTCTATGTAGAGATATCAGGCATTGTCAATTGCAGCCTTTATGTTTGTTGGTGTTGATGATGATGGTAACAACAACAACAACAGCAACAACAATTTTGTTATTTATTTCTTACTTACCTCTCCCCATGGATCAAGGAAAGAAACAATAACAGACCAACAAATACATATCAGTTAAAATACATATCAATTTAAAGAACAGACAAGATGCATGCAGATTAAAACAATCCACATTTAAAATTCATCATTTAAAATGTTGCATGTCTTCAAGTTGTTTCCAACTTGTGGCAACCCTAAGGCGACCCTATCATGGAGTTTTCTTGCCAAGATTTGTTCAGAGGAGCTTTGCCATTGCCATACTCTGAGGCTGAGAGAATGTGACTTGCCCAGGGTCACCAGGTGGGTTACCATGGCTGAGCAGGAACTGAACCCTGGTCTCCAGAGTCGTACTCTAATGCTGAAACCTTTACGCCATGCTTTTATTTTACTCCTGTCCTAAAAGTGAATTTTTAAAGCTCACAATGATATTGACTTTTCCAAAACAAACAAACAACAAGAATATAAATCACACATTGTAGTTGTACACTTTTAATGACACGGCAAGCCTCCCTATCTCTCTGCATATCTGTTTTAAAAGACCTGGATAAATATACCTCTCATATTAAATAATCGAATCAGGCTGCCCGGGAGTTCAATTTATCCCATAAAATCTCTAAAAAGCTTGTAAACTACTTGCGTTATTAGCTGAGATTTATTATATGTATTTGATGTAATTCTCAGAGGTATTGTTAAGCAAAAACTAGTAAGGGCTGGGTTCCCTTTCCGTCTCCCTCCCCTTTTAAATGAACTTTTCCTTTTGGAAATAACAGAAGCTGGTCCAGAAGTGATGTCCA